GACTAATTATCACATTATACTAAGACAGAATTGTCATGCTTGATTCCAAACTCTGAGAGCAACCTGATCAGCCACTGCACCTCACAACTCAGGCTTGCCAAGGCCCTATACTCTACTTCTTATGAGAAACGAGATAAAGTTGTTTTTTTCTTATTCTTCTAGCTCAATAAACCAGTTCCAAGAAAGGTGCAATATCCTGTAATCGACCTTCTTGAGTCAGGGCAAGTAGCCCAATCACTATCATTGTACCCCTTCAATTGCAAATTTGAATCACAAGAGTATATCATACCTTGTCCAGGTGAACCTTTTAGATACCTTAGAATTGGCAAAGCTCCTGAACATCAAATGTGATATCAGGCCTAGTGGTGGTTAAATACTGAAGTTGTCCCACTAGATGCCTGGATTCACTAACATCTTCAAGTGGTGTACCACCTTCTGAACTACCTTGACAAAGATTGGAGTTGCTGCAAGTTTGCAATCTCCAAATCCTTATTCAGCAATAACATCAAGGCAATACTTTCTCTGTGAAACTGTAATGGCTTGTTTCCCACGAGTTATTTCTAGGCAAAGAAAATAACTCAATTATCCTAGATCCTTCATTTTTAAATCAGCATGCAACATTCTCTTTAATGCATTAATTGACTCCAAGCTCAAACTTCCCAGAACAATATCATCCACATAAACTATTAATACTACTAACTCATTCAAGGTCTGAGCATTAAAGATTGAATAATCATATGTAGATTGTTTGAAGCCATGATTAATCAAAGAATCAGTCAAATCTCCATTAAGAAAGGCATTGCTGATATCCATTTGATATAAATGTTAACCTTTAACATCTGCAGCTGATAATAACATTTTCACTGAGGCCATCTTGGCCACTAGTGAGAATGTATCACAATAATCAATCCCATAAATTTGGGTATATCCCTTTGCAACTAATCTGCCTTTATACCTGTAAAATGTGCCATCAGATTTTAACTTCAAGCTGAACACTCACTTGCACCCTATTGCATTCTTATCAGCTGGCAAATCTGTGATTTCCCAAGTACCTTTGTCAAAAAGTGCTTGTAGTTCTTCTCTTATAGCTTCATTCCACTCAGGGTGTTCTGAAGCTTTAGTGTAGGTACTTGTTTCCATGTGAGTGATCAATGAATTAACAAACTTCTGAAGTTTAGGTTGCAAGTGGGAGTAAGAGATACTCTTACTCTAAGGATACTGCACATCATAATCAGAATGCCACGAAGGGGGTTTTGATTCTCTCATTGATTTTCTAAGAGGAGCAGGTGGATCTTCATGAGGATAAGGACATGGTGAAAAAGTGTTTGTGGAAGAAGAAGGAGTAGGGAAAGGAGAAGAAGGAGTTTTAGATGAAGATGGTGATAGCAGAAAAGGAAGGGATGCATCAGACCCAGTAGGAGAAGAAGTGACTTCATAAGACTCATCAGGATGTAAAGTAGAGGGAGTAAGAGTGTCCTCCTCAGACAGATGAGGAAACGAAGTCACAGGATTGGGAGGAAAAATGGGCGACTGTGCATATGAGGGAGAAAGTTCAGAAAAGATTGGTGGAGTGGCAGGATTTGTAGGTGGAGAAGGAGGAGCAAATTGTTTGTAAGGAAGAATGTGTTCATAAAAGATCACATCTCGAGAAACAAAGACCTATTTAGTATCAAGATTCAATAGTTAAAAACCTTTGATGCCTGCTGGTATACCAAGGAAAATGCACTGTTTGGCTCAAGGATCAAATTTGGTTCTGGATTGCCCTACTGTGGCTGCATAAGTCAAAAAGCCAAAAACCTTCAAACTGGTATAATCAGGAGGTGGTTGATGAAAGACCTCAAATGGTGTTTTGTTTTGCAGAAAAAGAGTAGGTGTTCTATTGATCATGTCTGCTGCATGAAGGATGAAATCACTCCAATACAACAGAGGGAGGCATGATTGGTACTTTATGCTCTAGCAACATTAAGGAGGTGTTGATGTTTTCTTTCAACCCTCCCATTCGGTCGTGAAGTATAAACAACACGCATTTGATGAATAATCCCTTCTGTGTTATAAAAATCATTCATATGAAACTCCTGTTCTAAGTCAGTCTTGATGATTTTGACATTTATGTTAAACTGAGACTTGACCATGGAACAGAAGGATTGAAGGAGAGGTCTAGCCTCATCCTTAGATCTCATAAGATAGGTCCACACATCTAGAATGGTCATCGACCAAGTTTAAAAAATAACTATAGCCATTGTAAGAAACTGTGTCCAATGGACCCCCAAATATCAGCATGTATTAATCCAAAAAGAACAGGACTAATAGAAGAACTAGAAGGAAATAGAAGCCTCTTCTGTTGGGCTAAGTGACAAACATCACAGTGAGTGTATGGAGAAGCTATTACATTAGGGAAAACTTTATGAATAGCTTGGAATCTAGAGCCATGTGGATGTCCTAATCTAGCATGCCCGAGATCAAACTACTGGGTCTGGAAATTGTGAGAAGTGGCTACAAGGCACTGAGCTGATGAAGTGGAAGATGGTGTCTTGGTGAAAAGGTAAAGTCCTCTATCCACTTGGGCTAAACCAATCCTCTTCTGTGTAATAAGGTCCTAAACGACACAGACAGAGGATTGAAAGGTAAGTGAGACAAGATTTTGTTTGGTTAGTTTTCTTACTGAAATAAGATTGTAGCTAAAAGTGGGTACTAACAGGACTTGTGAAAGAAACAAGCCACAAGGAAGTTTAACTACACCTATGTGTGTGGCCTTTACTTGTTCACCAGTACGTAGAGTAACAGAAATACCAGTAAGAACCTTATACTTGCTCTAAACTTAGAGATATAGATGATATGGTCTGTAGCCCCAGTATCCAAACCCATAATGGTTCGCCAGAAGATGCAATTAGAGCTAAGAGTGTTGTAGTACCTGAACTGGAAGGCATGTAAGCCAACTGTGGAGGTTGCTTGTTGAGTGGAACAGAACGAGTGACTATATTAGCAGTATGCAGTGATGGGGAAGTAGGAGGAGATGGAGAAGGAGATGGTGATTTGAAGAGCATTAGCTTTAATTTATCCATCTGTTCATGAGTGAAAATGCTCTCAAGACTCCTTCGGTTGTCATAAGAGGTAGTGGAGTTCTCATAAGGAATGGAACTCTCCACTGATCCAGCAAAACCAGCTTCTGCCTCTCTGGCCTTCTTGTTTTTCAATCTGTAGCAGTCCTTGATCACATGACCCTCCTTCTTGCAGTAATTGAAAATCTTCTTACCATCCTGAGCTTGTTGTTGTTGGTCTCTTCCCTTAAATTGGTTGTTGTTGGGTGTTCCCACGGTTAAGGCAAGAGAATCAACACTAGGACCCTTGTGAAGGACCTTCATTTGTCGTTTCAACGGTAAAATCTGCTTGAAGACTATGTCAACATGGGGCAAAACAGGCAACATCAAGACTTGAGTCCTTGCTGATTGGTAAGAGGGGTTCAACCCTTGTAGAAATTTGATGACAAAATCATTGTCCTGATATCTCTTTAGGATTTCATAAGGACCAGGTACACAAGGACACACAGGGATAGGTCTGTATCTCTTGAACTCTTCCCAAATGACTATGAGATTAGTGAAGTATTGACTCACAGAATCATCACCCGGACATTTTGCCAATTGACCTTTGAGATCATAAACTCGAATGTTGTCCTCCTGGCTAAAACGGTTCTTCAAGTTATCCCATACATCCTTAGCTAACCCTAGTCTCATCACACTATTTGCTATGTCATCTGGCAACGAATTATAGATCCAGCATCGAATGGGTCCATTGCATCTAGCCCAGGATTGGTAATGAGCATTAGTTACCTGGGGAATAGGTATGCGACCATCGATGAACTGAGAATTTTTCTTCGTCTCAAGGGCCAGTTCACTCCAGGTGTGATAGTTGCCATCGACAAGCTTAATAGAAATGATTGTGGGTAGAGATCCATCCTGAGGAGGTAGGTAGTAGGGATTGAGGTAAGGATCTTCATACTGGGATACAACAGCTTTGTATTTTGCAGAAGATTCAGATCTGGACTCAGTGTTGGGTGAAGCTTCATGTGAGGTGTCTTGACCTTCCATTGATGATGTAGATGAATATCATAGAAAAGAAAGAAAGTGTAGAAGAAAACGTCGATCGAAGAAAAGTGGATCTTAGCGCGATGAGCAGCGTTCTGATACCATGAGAAGATTTAGAGATAGAGAGGAATGTGGCAGAAAACGAATGAGGAAAATTGCTCATAGTGAGCTTTTCCATTGAGAGAAGCTTATATACATCATGTAAACTAACATTTACAATTAGCCGTTAAACTAACTTTCTAACTAGCCTATCAACTCTGTACACCTGTCTAATTACACAGTAAAACTTTAAGGTTGTTGTTGCACTATGTAAAACGGTGCGTTGCTTCTCTTTTTGTCCATGGCCACATCATCTGCATTCTTCTCTGCTTTTGTCATTCTTTCTTCCAGATCGGCAGCATTATTTCCATGGTCAGCAACTAGCTTTGGAGTTCTTCATATTCTTCATCCACGCTCCTTTTCAACCCCTCGTCGGATAGTCGAGGAGAGGGACAAGGTTAATTAAATGTGGGTGGTTCGATTGAAATTGGTGGCTAGTTTTTCTATAATTAAAATTTTGGTGAAAAATTAACATGGATAAATAATGCTGACTTATTATTGTAAAAAAATAACACTTACGGACACTAATTTTAGTGAACACCACAATGTCAACCATGTCACCACATTTAAGAGTGAAACTAACAGATGACTATAATTGTCTTGCATTTGAAAGTTTTGCCTATTTCTGCCATACTTTAAAAGGTTAGGCTATTTTTTATATTAATCCTTAAACAATGGCGAACATAATCAAGTATCAACCCAGAAAATGGCGAATAATCTTTTAGAGAAAAGGAAAATGCTTTGTTATCTTCATTTTCTACTCTTTCTAGCTGCTTCATTGTCGTACGTCCATACCGTAATCAGAGTTTACGACTAAGTCTCAATGGCTTGTTTAAGTCCATTTCGTTGTAGTTTTGTTGTCTTATAGCAGGGGACTTGGATGTTTTTTTTGTAGGGGTTGTTGTTTTTCTCATAGGGCAAGCATCCTTTCATTATGTTCTCGACAGTGAGAGTAATACGCGACCTACAATGGCATTTGGTGCGACGAGTTCTTATCTGGATTGGGCTCACGGATCAGGTGGCGCTATACTAGTGGAGATTTATTTGACTATTTCTTCTTTTGCTTTTTTTTTCCTAGCACTTGTACTCGTAGGTTGTACTACAGAGCTACCCATTTGGAGACTTCTATGACTCTTTCATTGGCAGTTCAAGTAGTGGTCGACTGTCACATTTGGTTGCTGAGTAATTGTAATACCTATTTCGGTATTTATCTATGGGAGAAAAAAAAATGATAACGGGCTTTTTCACTAAGAAGGAAGCTGAGACTATTTACAATTTGGAATAAAGCCTTGGAATAACAGACTCTCAGTATCCTCTGCCGCTGACCGCTGAATTCCCCCCACTCATCGCTCAGCTCTGGAAATCCCCACCGCCGGCGAAGTCGAATTCCCACCACCGCAAAAACGGCACGCTCCTCCGCTGCAGCAAGCATTAAACACCATTGGTTAGATCCTGCCCCTTCTTTAAATTATCAGTTTCTGTGTTAGGATTTAAATTCCTCGTCTCGGTGACGGCCATCCATAGAATTATTTGGTTAGTCCGTGAAATAGAAATGAATGGGGGCAACTGCGGACGCCATGCGACTGTGTTGAGAAGCTTGGGTATCTAATATCTATTGGGTAACGAAGAAATGTTCTTTCGTAATTGTCTTAGTAGCAAAGATTAATCCCCCTTCGAGCCCACCTAGAGAGTCCGATCCTTTGGAAGTATATAATAAATGCTGCTCCATCGTTTGATTTTTACTGGGCGAACAGAATCGACCCTAGTTGCCATGGGGGAGCTGGCAGCTGATAAGCACGTTAAGTACATCCTGGCAGTGGAGAAGGTTTGTTCTGAATTTGGTGGGTTGTTAGAGAATTGATGGTTCGGCCAGCTTATGATTTTTTTATTTCTTTGCTCTGTTGGTTGGTTTTTAGAGAAAGGATAGTTTTGAATCTGCTGTGCTGGAGCACTTGCGAATGAATGGGGCTTATTGGGGGTTGACCACCTTGGATCTGCTAGGCAAGCGTGATGTGGTAGACTCCAATGAGATTATTGAATGGATCTTGAAGTGCCAACATGAGTCCGGTTTGTGGTGAAAACTATCTAGATGTCATTTTGTTGTTGACTCTCTAGCCAAATGGTGGGAAAATATGGATGATGATGATGCTCTTTGATTCTGCAGGTGGATTTGCTGGTAATATTGGGCATGATCCACATATACTGTATACCCTGAGTGCCATACAGGTTTTGGCCCTTTTTGACAAGCTTAATGTTCTTGATGTCGACAAAGTGTCTACTTGTATCCTTGATGAGGTTTGAGAGATTTTCATCTGCTGATAGGTTCAAGAATTGTCACTATGAACGTTCAGTTTTTCTCTTTCCTGATATGTGGTGTTTCTTTTATAAGCCCTATATTTCTCGAGCATGTCAATAGAGGACTTTTTGTTGTTTAGACAAGACAATTGAATGGTGAAGTGTAGATGAAATAATCGATGCATGATTGTATAAGCTGCAATTCTGAAATCTTTCTGTAGATGGTACTTGGCAACTGAAATAGAAAACTGAACATTTCCAAGTTATCCAGTCTTTGTTCTGCTTAATGCTCAAGTCAGATATTGCTGGACTGCAAAATGAGGACGGATCCTTTTCTGGTGACATCTGGGGGGAAGTGGATACCCGGTACCGCTCCACTTTTCCGTATACTTTTTAAGCAAAGGATCTCAAGCTTATCCAGTACTACTGGTTTCTACATTACCCCCTGACTTTGACATTCTCATTTTCCAGGTTTTCCTATATTGCCATATGTGGTCTCTCCATATTGAAATGCTTGGACAAGATAAATGTGGAGAGAGCTGTAAACTACATCATAAGTTGCAGAAATGTAGATGGTGGATTTGGATGTACACCTGGTGGCGAGTCTCATGCTGGACAGAGTATGTCCTAATTCACCCCACGGTTTTGAAAAAATCTCTATTGCAGTAGTTGCCATTTGAATTTTCTGTCATTTTTCTAACATTAATCCAGAATTGAGAAGTTTCTCCCTTGCTCCATGTTTGAAGTATTCTGTTGTGTGGCTGCCCTTGCCATTACGGGAGCTCTACACTACGTTGACAAGGACCTCCTTGGATGGTGGCTGTGTGAGCGACAAGTGAAATCTGGTGGCCTGAATGGCAGACCCGAGAAGCTCCCAGATGTGAGCATTTTTAATCGCACGTATGCTGGATATAATTTCTGCCTTAATGAACGTTGACATATTATGATAAACCAATGCAGGTTTGCTATTCATGGTGGGTTCTTTCTAGCTTGACCATGATTGATAGAGTTCATTGGATTAGCAAAGAGAAGCTTATCAAGTTCATTTTGAACTGTCAGGTTATGATTGAAAATTTCTAAGCAAAGCCCTTCCCCACTATAGATTCCATTTATCTTAAAAGTAAAAATCACAGCTTCTTACAGTTATGTAATGGAAACGTTGTAGGACACGGAGAATGGAGGAATCTCAGATAGACCTGACGACGCAGTTGATATCTTCCATACATATTTTGGTGTTGCTGGCAAGTAAACAGTGAAATTCTGCATTTTTTCTTTCCCATATCACTCAGTTTTGTTTTCAATTGAATGTGGTAAATTTTGTGGGGTTGTTGCAGGACTGTCTCTGCTTGAATATCCAGGAGTGAAACCTATAGATCCAGCTTATGCCTTGCCCGTTGATGTCATTGATCGAATTTTCTTCAGCAAATAATTTACACGCAGAGTAAGTTTAACCATAGGAAACAGTAAACTTATCAATTTCTCTGCAATCTCCATTGTAATGAACTCTACCAATAGCATCTTTCCTCGAGAGGTCTTTGCACATTTGCCACAGAGGGCGGCTGTTGGTATCTTGGTATTTGAGACATTTTTCCTCTGCACAGATACTGTCGTGTTAACTTGGTATCCTTGAAAAACATTTTTGAACTCTGTTGACACTGACGATTCATGTGCTTTGAGAACACAACAATAGTAGGAAGATGTTTATCGAACATGGAGAAGATGGGTGTTATCGGAACCCACAAATGTTGCTCCCTCTCTCCAAAGCCTGGTCCGAACCCCAGAAAGCAAATTTGCCTGTTCTTGGACCAGCGCTTGGCAACCAAGTTTCGCCGTATTCAAGGCTATTTTCATCATGGATTAAGTCTCAATCAAATAAACCCCTCAATATGATTGTTCTTTGGTACAAGGACCCAGTATAAGGTCCAGTCTACTCTCTAGAGTTTGAATTGTGAGAAAGAAACTATATTATATGAAAATCATGAGTTAATATCTATTTCTCTTGCTAAAAAAATTAGATGAGTATCAATTATTATCTTTTTTTTGGAATTACTCACAGGGTTTTTGTATCCTTCTGTACACAATTATATTATAAACTATTTTTTCTTATAGTCGGCACATAAGTCTGAACGAAAATCTTTGTATGATAAGGAAAATCTCTATTATTAAATAAACGATTGATCATTTCATCAATTTGCATCACAGAAACGGTATGTAAGGTAAATTATTTTTATTTGGAATCAAATAATTATGTGAAATCAAAATTAAGAAAAAACATTAATGATTCAATGATGAGACGACAAAAATAACAAGAATTGCCAAATAAACAATGAAATATATATTTGTGATCCATGTTGTCAAAATCGTGGTTTAAAACTTAAAAGGTTATACTTTTACATTTTTGGGTCACCAAAACGCTTATATGTAGAATCACACTTTTCAATTACAATTGTAGACAAAATCTACACTTTAAAGGTTAAAACCTTACGTTTTTACACATATATAGAATCACGTTTTTTACTGCACTGTTCGGAATATATTACTATACATTTTTTGCGATGTAGATGAATTCAATAATAAAGTGGCAGGATTCAATCATATAACTACTAATACCACAACCAAATACTGCAACGAGTATGTGATATTTGTCGTCTCGCCATCTAAATCATTTTGATCCACCCAATCCATGCATATCCAAACCGGGCCTGATCAAATGGGTTTTATACTATTGTTATGCTTTGATCTTACTCGAATTGTGTTGAACTATTGGTAATCTAAAATTGGATCACTTAAAATACTGATCAAGTGGGTTCATACAAAACAATAACATGATCAAGTGATGTACAGTGCTAAAAAGATGGAAAAGGGAAAGGGGGAGGAACAAATCTGGAAGACAGGGAGAATCAAAATTTGCAAGCATAGAAGAAAGCAAACGGAAAAGTTCCAAATTCCCAGTTCGATGTCGATCTACTGCTACTTCCCCACTTCCCACTAGTGGCTTGTTTCCAGGTTGGATGTCATTTGACACGAGAAGGCAAAAACCAACTCAAATAAAAAAGTAAAAGCAAAGAACTATTTTGTGAATTATTTGATTTCAATTAGTATATTTCTAGCAGTTATTAAAGAAATGGCTGCCTTACAAAGCGCATCGGACAAGATGGCTTCCAGTCTATCTTATACTAGAAGTGTTTGAATATGGTGGGAATTGACTCTTCTCATTTTGTTATCTCTTTTTTCAGGTGTCCTGATCTCATCAATGCCATGAAGGAAACTCTATTGGTGCTCATTCCTTAAAATCCAAACCCAATCCCGATTTCGCAATTTCGCTCGATTAGCCTATGTAATGTGCGTCATATAGGATGCTTATAAAGGTCCTGGCCAATAGAGCAAAACCTTTGATGTAAAAATTGTTCATCTATTGCAAACGAGGTTTGTTACAGACGGTTACATGCCGGATAACATTATTATTTCGTATACAATAATTCAGTTTAGGATACACACTTCGTCATATACATGCCGGCAGTCCCGCTCCAAAGCGTGGAAACGCAGATTCAAGAAAATTCTTTTCCAATTTGTGATTTTTTTATTTGGGAGTGCGAATTACTTGCAAAAAAAGCGATTTTGTAGTTCATTCTAAGAGCATCCACGTCAAGCCTTTATATTGAATTGCAAAATAATGTGGTAATGGAAATGCATTTGCATTTTTAATTGCATGGATGGAAGTCTTAATTGCATTTATGCAAGCTACCATAAAATGCACTTCCATTGAAATCGGTTGTCTGCTTCAGCAAGAACATTGTTCTTCCAGACCAAGAGTTTCTGGCTGCGATCCTAGGGGTTGGGGCTATTGGGGTCCATGATAAGTATTTGGGATTGCCAACTCTGATTGTCAGGTCCAAAATGGCTACTTTCCGATATTTGGAGGAGAAGTTATTAGAGCGACTCCAGGGCTGGAAGCAACAGACATCATCATGGGCAGCGAAGGAAACATTAATTAAATCAATTGCTTTAGCACTGCCATTACATGTGATGTCATGCTTCAAGTTACCGGTCTCTCTGTGTCGTCTTCTAGACAAGCATGTGGTCAGATTCTGGTGGGGTGCTGATGAGGGTCACCCGAGGGTGCAGTGGATGTCATGGCGAGACATGTGTCGTAGCAAACATGAAGGGGGGATGGGATTTTGGCGCTTTGAGCTCTTTAATTAGGGCCTTTTAGCCAAAATTGGGTGGCGCATCCTCACTGAACCCCAGTCCCTGCTGCCTACTGGCCAGGGTCTACAAAGGCAAATACTTCCCAAATGGGACTTTCCTAAAAGTTACGGCACGGTCTCGTCCCTCGTGGGGTTGGCAGAGCATTTTGTTTGGAAGACAGTTGTTGGAGAAGGAATTACATTGGCAAATTGGTAATGGGAGGATTGCGTCATTGTTGCACTCTAACTGGGTACCTCGATTCCAGCTAGATCCCATTCGATATAATCCGCGGGTTTTACCAGACGGTGGGGACCCTTTAGTTGCTGAGGTTATTTGTCCGGGTGAGGGGCGGTGGTGTGACCACAAGCTCAGCCAGTGGTTTGACCCAGATACGTGCCAGGCTATCAAAGCCATCCCTCTTCCTCGGCATAATGTGGAGGATAGGCTTATCTGGCATGAGGCTCCTAGTGGTGTCTTCTCGGTCAAATCGGCCTATCATTTAGCGGTCTCGTTGGATAGGAGGGGTGGTGGCTGGAAGTCTACGGTGAGTTGGATGGATAAGTCGTCCTGGATTAGGGTGTGGGAGGCTGATATTCCCCCGAAGCTGAAGGTTTTTGTCTGGCAGATCTTGAATCGGGCCCTTCCAACTACTAAGGCTCTTATTGAGAAAAAGGTCTCATTGCATCCCCGATGTCCGGTTTGTTGGGATCGAATGGAAACAATGGAGCATCTTTTTTCTCTATTGCCCAGTGGCACTTTCCCTGTGGGACTATGCGGGGTTGGAGTATATGGGTGAAGGATTGTCACGCCATACCTTTCCGCTCTTTCTTAAGAGGCTGATGGCTTTGATTAATAAGCCAACGCTATTCATGGCGGTGGTGGTTGTCGTCTAGCGGATCTGGCGGTCTCGTAATTGGGTTGTGTTTGAAGGGAAACAATTTGGGATCCCAGTGCTGATGCGACAGTTTCATCAATAGTATGAGGAATGGGTCAGCTTGTCGTCTAATAGTAGGCCTCCAGTTCATCTCCCAAATGTGCCCCAGCTGGGTCCAGTGGAAGTTGGTAGGATCGTTTATATGTTGGATGGGGCCACTAGGCGTGAGTCACATTCGGCAGGAGGAATTGTTCTGATGAATTCAGCTCGGGCGATCTTAGTCGTTAAGGGGGTTCAATTCCAGGGGATCGATGACCCTATGGTGGTGAAATTGCTTGTACTCCGGGAGGCTATTGCGTGGGGAATAGAGCTCGGCTATACGAATATCATTTTTGAAGGAGACGCCAAGGTGATCATAGACAGGATCAATCGTGCAGGTACGAGGGATAACCAGATGGTGATGTACTTGAGGAGATCATGCATTATTTTCATATCCATTATGGTTTCAGTGTGCGGTTTGTAGGTCGGGGTAACAATAGGGTAGCCCATTTGGTGGCTAGAAATGCCCTTTCTTTGTATCCGACTATGAGTCGCTTCTTTGATTTCCAGACCTGGCTCTATTCCAGGATGTAACTGTCTTTTTATGAATCAATATATGATTAGCTTTTGTCAAAAATAAAAATAAAAAATGCACTTCCATTTGCAATTTCTCTCTTTTATTTGCTTTTTTATGGATAAAATAATAAACATTTACATTTTTATTTTATAAAAAATAATTTAGGCTCACATATGCAATTGCAAATTAATCGCATTGATGTAGGTAAATGAAATTAAAGTGATGTGGATTGCAAAAAAAATTGAGTTGACAATAAAAAAAACACAATGCGATTGATGTAGGTAAATCGAGAAGAAAACTCTGGACTTAGGTCTGCTAACCTGTTGTCCTGAAGCCGCCACAAAGTCCGCCAAGCATTGCAGGATTACCTGGACCTGGTTCAGGGAAGCTGCACTGAGAAGTATAAGGTCGTCAACACAGAATAAATGTGAGAGGGCCGGTCCGCGGCTCGACACTTTCACTGGCTTCCAATCTCCTCTCTCCACTGCCGCTGATATGAGATGGCCAAGACGTTCCATACATAGGGTGAAGATATACGGAGATAGAGGGAAGCCTTGACGTAATCCCCGAGAAGGTTCGAACGGCTCTGTTAGTCCACCATTCCACTGAATCTGCATCGTCGGAGTGGAGATGGAGCTCATGGTGAGATCGATGAAACTCTGGGGCGCACCTGCTGCCTGCAGTGTGTCACGAACAAAACTCCACTTGATCTTGTCATACGCCTTAGCTAGATCAACTTTAAGGACCAACCATCCCGTCTTTCCCTTTTTAGCCCTCATCAAGTGTACCACCTCCTGCAGAATGCAGATGTTATCCGTTATATGACGTCCGGGAACAAAACTCGTCTTGAGTTTCATGCACCAGTTGAGGCATGATTGACTTGATTCTCTCCGCCAAACACTTAGTGATAATCTTGTACGTAACGTTGCAAGACTGATTGGCCGGAACTGATCAATGGTGGAAGGTTTTGCAACCTTCGGGATGATCACCATGATCGTTTCATTCAGCTCCTTCACCCTCGACGGATGAGTTCATCATGACTGAATAAACTCCAGGACCATAGGACCCACCAGCTCTCACTTCCACTGGTAAGACAACGGGTTAAGTCCGTCTTTGCCTGGTACCTTAAGCGCACCCATCACCCTCACCGCACTCTGTAGCTCCTCCATCGAGACCTGTCGTGATAGTGGGTTCCGCAATTCGGGAGGAACTTCATCAAAGGAAGCCTGCAACACACTAAGAGACGAAGAACCTGGGTCGATATTTGGGAGTTCCATTGATCCATGACAGGGTGTCCAAGGCAACATTCATGGAGCTCATTGACCGTATAGATGCAAGGTTGGCAGGCTGGAAAGTTAAAATGTTGTCTTTGGCAAGGAGGATCACTTTAGCACAGTCAGTCATGTCGTCTCTCCCAGCTAATACTATCCAGACCTCCTTCCTTCCTGCCTCTGCACGGGAATACATTGATATGAAGATCAGAGGATTTATCTGGGGGGAGTTCTGAGCAAGGGCGTAAGATCCATCTCATGGACTGGGAGGCAGTATGTAAGCCGAAAGACGAGGGTGGATTGGGCATGCGCAACGCAACGCAACACATATGAATGAGGCGTTCATGATGAAGATAGCCTGGCGGCTCATGACGGAAGCTGATTCTTTATGGGAGAGAGAAGTAAAAACCCAGGGAATTTGGAAGGAGGGTGGCAGCCTCGAACAACTGGTTGGATGTCTAACTTGTGGAAGAGTCTCCTACGGATCCTTCACCTTATCACTCAAGGGAAGATGTGGAATGTCAAGAGTGGAGAGCAGACGAGATTTTGGGATGACAGTTGGTTGCAGGATGGGCCACCCCTGGCTGAGTTTGCCATTGGACTGCCTGGCGAGGCGCGAAAGCTCACCATCGTTGATTTGGTACTTAATGGCGAATGGAATTTGCAGTATGTGCGAGCTTTCCTCCCCGAGGCGCTAGTCATGCAGTTGATGATACACCCGATCCCTAGAGAGAGACCCTGACATCCCAATCTGGCGATTGTCATCTACGGGCCTCTTTACCAATAAGTCTGCCTACAAGCTTTTGATAGCGAAGGAGGAGGTCGACCAACCTCATCATGTTTGGCGGTAAGCTTGGCGTATTGAGGGTCCCCAAAGAACTCGAGCTTTCTTCTGGCTGGTGCTCTAGAATAAGCTTCTTACCAATGGTGAGCGATGCAGACGACATTTATCTCATACGGATGTATGCCCGGTTTGTGGAAACGTCCCGGAGACAACGATGCATGTAATTCGAGATTGCCCCTACGCCCGGGCAGTTTAGTCGGAAGTCCGAGACGACGAGCCTGATCGGAATTTCTTTGAGGAAGATAGCACCAAGTGGGTCCACTATTACCTGACGGGTCGGGGTATAGTATTTGATGCATCTCTCTTCGCTATTCTCTGCTGGAAGTTATGGAAGAACCGTAATGGTTGGGTCTTTGAGAAAATGTTGGCGTCGACCTGGCTGCTGGCTCATCAAGCGATTGAAATGAAGCAGCTGTGTCAGCTGGCCTTCGGCAAAGTGAAGCAAGCCGTGGGCGATGGAAGGGAGAAGCGAACAGGCATGGTTGGTTGGGAAAAGCCGCCTCTGGGTTGGACTGCTCTAAATACATATGGATATGTAATATCATCCACGGGTAGCGCCACGGCTGGTGGAGTGATTCGTGACAGCCCCGGCAGATTCATGAGAGCTTTCTCAATCGATTTGGGGGCTCATTCCATCACACACGCGGAGCTGGTTGGGCTCTATCATGGAGTGCATATAGCTTCGGAGATGGGAATCCAGAAAATGCGCCTGCAGACTGATTCGAGGACGGCGTTAGCTATCATCCAGTCAGACCGGGACAACCACCCCCACCGCACGTTGGAAAATTCTATCATAGAGTTGCTCAACCGGGAATGGGAGACCACGATGGAGCATGTCTATCAAGAAGGAAATTATGTTGCTTATTTTATGGCTGAGGTTGGACACTCATTGAATACGGGGTTACATGTATTGGATAACCCTGGACCGAGCCTAAGATACTGGCTCTTGTTTGATTCTATTGGCGTCCAAACGCCTCGTATGATTAATGAATAAGAGTTAGAGTGCCCCTGCGCTCTGTGTTTAACCAAAATAAAATAAAGTAAAATAAAAATATGTGTATCTCACTCACTCATGTTCCTTTTTCTCACTTTTGATCGGAGTCTCTCCTATTTTCTCGACCCAAATCTCCACATATAAAAGTAGTATGATAATTAAGAATACTACTTCCACGATAAGTATTCTTTAAAACTAATTAGAGAAAAAGAGTAAATAATTTATTTTATACTAACTAAATTGTAGAAAGTAAATAATTTTAAAGTAAATAAAAAGAGAGATACAAAATTTTATATGGACAGTATAGCTCCAAGATTTATATCCAATTTCCGAAAAGACTATTAATGAGAAAAATAAATTATAAAAAATCACATGTTTACCTTTCTCTTGGCAATTAACACAGAGCACAAAATTCATAGTTAGTATCTACACCATTATATATTGAAGTACGTATTTTATGTGTTTAAAAGTTTTATTGTTGTATTTTGTCAAATCATTTTATTTTTTCTCATTCATTTGATTGTTTCCGTACAATATATGTATTAAACCCATATGACTATTTTAATATTTATATTTAATGAATTTAATTATTAATTTAAATATTTATTTATTTATTCCTAACATAATTAATTTGATATATAGACTATTAACATACTATTAGACGTACCATTAGTTTAGAAATGAAGTAAAATACTAACACGTACTTTATACTCAACTTACACATACCGTATTATACTAACTATGATAAAAGGAAAAGGTTGAAGAAGAGGCCAAAATAAGTAGAGATGTTTAATGTTAAGTTTACGTTGTCATACCATGATATAATATTTTGGTAACTGATATAGTTGGTTAAATGATATTGCTTGCACAGATATTGATTATCCTTTTGTTTTTTTATAGCAAGCGAATGTAAAGTGTTCGGGTAGATGAAGTTATAGGCTAACTGCTTCATATCATGGCGCGACATTGGACTTTTATGTAGTGGGTAAAAAAAAATTAGTATGTAAATGACCCTCATATTAAGAAGTGTTTATAAGGAAACAAATTGCTTTTGTTTTGTCAACTTGCAAAATGACATTTTTTGTCCGCTCCACGAACTTGTTACCTAAAGTTCACTCCAGACATACAAAGACGGGGAAACCGACCCAGATGGTCCTTAAAATCGACCTAGAAAAAAGACTTATGATCGACTGAGCTGGAAGTTTATGGAAGAAACTCTAGGACGGCACGCTTCCCGACAACGTTCATGCGTGCTATGATGGACTGCATTTATCCCCAACTTTTCAAGTCCTATGGGAGGGAGCTTTCACACCGACTCGAGGGCTATTCCAAGGGAGCATGTTATCTCCTTATTTGTTTACTCAATGTATTGAACGTTTGATACAGGAAGCCGAGGTTTACGGCAGATCGTGTGTTTTCAACCCTAAGTATCCTTGTGGGCCATCATGTACGAGTGTGGGGGGGGGGGGTCAAAGTCCAGCTATTAGGACCAAAATTTGAGATTGGATCGATGAGACGAGGACCACATAATGGCGTGAAATGTAGTCAACCCGAGCCCAAAAATGCGTAGGCCGCCAATTTTGAGAGTGTCAAGATCGAGCACAGATTCATAATATATATGCTAAACTTGGTGACCAAACTGGAAGAACCTCGAGAACTCTGCAAACATGTGTCGGCCAACTTTTCCTCCTAAAAAACCTGATACATAAACTTATAAATAAAACCAAGGGGGGTAGAAGTTCTGCAGCCAGTGATAGGAGGCATTAAAGGGTTGTAACTCTACCAACATAGTGACTCACTTGTTCTAGAACAAAGCCAAACTCGAAGGATAAATTGATGCAAAAAATGGTGGCCTAGTCCCTAATTCTGTGTTCTGGCCGCCAATTCCAAGGTTATTTTGGGGATCTCATTCTGACTGATGTTCCCTCGGAAACGTGTCCTCGCGAGCTGCTAGCTCCTTAGGTTGGTGAATCCTAGAGGTTCTTTGACTATCTAAATTACAGATTTAAGTATAAATTTCTTCCTTAGTTGCGCACGTAATACAATGACAATCTTCATAGGATATAAATTCAACCTTACTTTATGGGTGGATGAAACTGGACACAATCGTCCCTCACGATTGATCAGCAATCGACTGGACTGCGACAACTTCCTGAAAAGATACATTTATTGGGTCCCCAGCGCAGTGGCGTAGCCAGAAATTCATATGAGATAAGTCAAATGTGGGGGTAAACGCAAGTTTTGGAATGCGTTCATGTTCTCAAAATTTCTAAGATACATTCATCGTGCAAATTATCAGAGATGTTGAGATACCGCAACGAAAAATTGTTCATGATTCCACAACTCATCTTATTTTGAAGTGTTTCTTCTCTTTGTGTACCTCCAGAAGTGCTCTTTCAACAATTACAATGACAACTGATAACAATAAACACCTCTCATTTTCAAGCTTTTGTTTATATTAAACTCGAGTAGAGAATATATGAATGAAAAGTTAAATATAGATCACAAAACATTACTTTTTAATAAAATTATCCACAATAATATGGTGACCTTGTATTCAATTCACAAATCACAATCATATAACAATTTACTCTATATTTTTGGGCCAAGGTGGTGCAAATGACCCACCTTGGCCTCAAGTGGCTCCGCTACTGCCCCAGCGTTGTCTACTAACCCTAGTAATTAACACGGCCAATGCAGTCAAAATCGTGTTTTAAAACTTAAAAATTTACGATTTTACGCTTCTAGGTCATCAAAACACTTTCATTTCCATATAAAATCTATAGTGTATAAATCGGACTAAATTGTGCTTTAAAATTTAAAAATTTACGCTTTTACGCTTCTAGTTCATCAAAACGCTTTACGCTTTTACGCTTCTAATTCACTAAATGGGTATTCTTTTCATGAAATTAATTATGAAAAGTATATTTTAAGGTAAATCATAAACAATATGATACATTTGAGATTAAAAGATACATACCACTGACCAGGTTTTGGATGCATTCTCAGCTTCAATAGAGTTGATACAATCAAAGTCACGCAGCTTTCACTCGAACAAGAACAAGGATAAAGATGGACTCCAATCGGACAGAACTTGCTTGTGGAAAGGGGCAATTGGTATGTCAAACCAATCGGACAATCCCAGCTAGAAGTAAAGGGCAATTGGAAGGGTAGAACTCGCCACAATCGAAGTGAATATCCGATTGATAAGAGTTTGCTCTAGCTCTCTCCAGAATTCACTCAATGGAAGAAAGTAGGGCTAGAAACCTCAAAGGAGGACTCGGCAAAAGCCTTGAATAAATCAGAAGTTTGGTGAAAATTGTCTAACCCCAAAACCAACGTGTTCAGCCCTTTAAATAGGCAAAGTACAACCCAAATCCGACTCCAACATGGAAAAACAATCATAAACTGACTTTAAAACAAGGAAACCCGAAAATAGCCCAGCAAACCCATTAAGCAAACCCGTTAAGGCTGGACCCATTAAGCAAACACGTTAAGGCTTCTTCAAGCTGGACCTGTTAAGCAAACCCGTTAAGGCTTCTTCTTGCAATCTGCCTTCTCTCCAGCACTTCCTCCTTCTTCCTCCACTCGAATCATCATATATGCTTTGGACTTCAGCAACTCCACATCCATGTCTCGAAAATAGCACTCCAAATAAGTAGCAAACTTCTCTTTGCATGCCTTAGCCTTAGCTCGAGTGATTGGCCCCTTGATGTCCTCACCAGTCCCTCCCTCTTCAAAAGGATTTGACCTCAAATCCGAGTTCTCATCTAGGTAAGGTGCAAGATCAGCCACGTTGAAAGTAGCACTGATTCCAAACTCACCTGGCAAATCAACCTTGTAAGCATTCGGCCCCACCTTTCCAAGCACTTGAAAAGGACCATCACATCTAGGCAGCAACTTGGATCGTCTCTGATGTGGGAACCTCTCCTTCCTCATATGAATCCATATCCAATCTCCCACTTCAAAGTTCCGTGGCTTCCTATTCTTATTCACATTTCTCATGATCTGCTCAGTTCTCCTCTCTATGTTCTGCCTTGCCTTCTCAGGTAAACTCTTCACCATCTCGGCCTTCTTCACACCATCCATATTCACTTGTTCCTTCAAAGTCAAAGGCACTAGATCCAAAGGAGTAAGAGGGTTAAAGCCATACACAAGCTCAAATGGAGAAAACCTGGTGGTAGAATGGACCATGCGGTTATAAGCAAACTCGACAAGAGGCAAGCAGTCTTCCCAAGTCTTGAGATTACTCTTAATCACAGCCCTCAACATTTGTGAAAGAGTCCTGTTCACCACCTCAGTCTGGCCGTCAGTATGTGGATGACAAGTAGTGGAAAATAACAACTTCGTGCCCAACTTGCTCCACAAGGTCTTCCAAAAATAACTGAGAAACTTAGCGTCTCGATCAGACACTATGGACCTCGGCATACCATGCAATCTCAGCACTTCTCTGAAAAACAAATCAGCAACGTTAACAGCATCATCGGTTTTATGGCAAGGAATGAAGTGAGCCATTTTAGAAAATCGATCCACAACTACAAAGATGGAATCCCTCCCTCTTCTGGTCCTCGGCAGCCCTAGCACAAAGTCCATGGAGATATCAATCCATGGTGCATATGGAATAGGCAAGGGCGTATATAATCCAGGTGGTTGAGCTTTGGATTTAGCCTGCCTGCACTCCACACAACGAGCACACAAGTTCTCCACATCTCGCTTCATATGAGGCCAATAGAAATGTTCCTGCAGACAACTGAGGGTCTTATCTACCCCAAAATGTGCCATCAAACCACCACCATGGGCTTCTCGAAGCAGCAATTCTCGAAGTGAAGCTCTAGGAATGCAAAGCCGAGTGGCTTTAAAGAGATAACCATCACTCCTATAGAACTTTCCTGCTCCATGATTCTCACAAGCTCGAAATATGTCTCCAAAATCAGCATCCTTTGCATATAGCTCCTTGATCTGCTCGAAACCCAAGTAACGAGCATCCATAGTAGTAATAAGCACATGTCTACGAGATAAAGCATCAGCAACCACGTTATCCTTCCCTTGCTTGTACTTAATCACATAGGGAAAAGATTCAATAAACTCAACCCATCTCGCATGCCTCTTGTTGGGCTTATGCTGAGCCTTCAAGTACTTCAATGACTCATGATCAGTATGAACAACAAACTCCTTTGGCCACAGATAATGTTGCCAAGTCTCCAATGCTCGAACTAGAGCATAAAGCTCCT